TGCACATGCGCAGTAAAATCTGGTCTGCACTTCCTCAAAGGCTCAGTAGATGGCGTGAGACCGTGGAATAAGGGGGATGTTTGTTTCATGGTCAATTTGTGTTTTTGGTTACATTTTGGAATTTATGAATGATTTGAAAATGTTTGTTTTTGCAATAGAATTTAACTATTATGGCAAAACTGATAATCTGTGCTCTGGCTTAACAGCAAAATATATTGTGATAATATCTAGTGTTACACTGAAGGATGATTCTCAAAATCAAAACCAATGACAGCAGCCCTAGTTCTTTACCAGAGGCATTAGTTAAGGTTAGCTACTTTATTAAGTAAGAAAAACAAATTGAAATGATATTGCAAAAAGAACTTATTGACACATTTTGACATATTCCAGTGTTCAAATATTCTCAGTTTCATTATTGTCATTGGTGTCACACACCACAAAACACAGGTACAATTGCAGGACAAAAATGATTTATTTTGCATTTTCACATACAACAGTCACCACACAAATAACAAATGAACTAAAAGTCTGAGGAAGAACTTTGTGCTGCAAACATCACACAGCAAAACAAGAGGTATTTGATCTGGGTCCATTTTGTTGGTTCTGGGATATGTGCATGCATGTCATTTTCACAGCTTATTACTGGACTGTTACTGGTGGCCTGCGTTGTGGGTGAGAATGACAGAGATGCAATTCCAACAACTTCAAGCCGTCGTCCAAAAGTCCAAGCAGACCACACCAAGCGCACTCCTTGATCGCCTGAGTGGATCCTGCGCTTTTTATCTAGCGCCCCTACTCTCACCCTCCAGCATCGCAGCTCAAGTTACACTGCTTATATGCAATCCCCCCATGTTTGACCAGAGATATTGGATATTTGAGACGTCTTCATCAATGACCTCATTATGTCTCCAGGTAGATTCATTTCTCATTAACACTGACACACCTGCAGCTCTGTGGAATTTGTCTGTGACAATCCGCTCTGATTTATGTCCAGGTAAAACCACAACAAGGATCCAAACTCTTTTCAGAGCCAGAGACACTTTTCTTACGGGCCGACAAACCGCTGTCTCTGCTCCGATGATGATGTGTAATATGTGATATATGTGGGTGGAACAGATTGTTAGATAAGTGAATGATGAGTGTGAGGCCAAACAGTATCTTTCATACAGACACTCCTCCAGAGAGACATCCAAACAGTATCTTTCATACAGACACTCCTCCAGGGAGACATCCAAACAGGCTTCAGTCACCTTCTCCTTACACAACAGCCTCTGAATAAACTGTGCCTCAACCTCCACCACTTCATTCACTAAAGGACACACCATGTTTCTACTTCCTGCTACACGCTCAGCCTCAGGCTGACATGAAGAGTATGTTGCCATAGTAACTGACTCAGGGTTACACTGAGCTGGCTTTAGTTTCATCTCAGGCTCAACAAACTCTCAAACGGAGCCCTGCTCTTCATTTCTTTATTTTTCCACACTTACAAATCAGTGGCGATTGCTCTAAGACTGCAAGGGAAACTCAGCTTCCCCTAAAATGTCAAAAAATAAGTGGTCAAATATGTACTGTTGTGTTTACATTTCATTGACTAAATATGAACTAGAACGAGTTCAACTTTTGTTCAGAATCAGCTACTTATCACAGGTCACTGAAGCGACTTTCTTCTCATTCATTCCCGTAGCGTCACAGTGCATTAAACAGTGGAAGCTCAACGTCCAAAGACTTCAATGGGGAAGCATAGAGTGGGTTGTTCCACTGCAGCAAAACTAGACAGTCATTGGATAAATGCACAGTTTTGTCCTGCCCATCGAACACTCAGCGTCTCTGGGGGTCTATGGGGCAGTGGGCTGGCCTCGGCTGCCCTGGACGCTGGGCTTCTGCATGATGATTAGATGATCTGTCTGAGGCTGAATCCCTTTTTGATTGATAGCAAAATGAGCGAATCAGCAATCTTGAAATATAAACCACCACCGGAGCATTTTTCAAGTTTCATTCCGTTGTTCAGAGTTGATCTGGAGACTTTTCCAATCCTCTTAGTGACTTTTTATTTGTTAAAAACAACTAGCAACAAATCTAGCATCTTTTTCAGGTGTTATTGGAGACTGTACTTGTGTTTGGAGACTCTGACTTCTGTCGCTCTGCAGTTACTGTCCCCAACGGGCAGCGGGTGCTGCTGTGAGCCCCTCCACCATCCCAAAGCACTCACAGGCGGTCACACTAGCCTCATGCAGCAGCCCCAGCTAGCGAGCGAGCTAGCAAGCTTCACATAATGGCAGACAATTTGAATATTGTCGACTGGATTTTGGCGACACCATTTGATAGTCTTCCTTACGAGGACAAACTTAGAGTTAAACAGCAGGGCAGATCGACACCTCAGATTGATTTGGTACAAAGGGTGGGGAAAAGTAACAGGTCTTTTCACCCATCTGAAAATCTTTGAGGTGTGTTTTGCTGAGGTTCTATGGTATGAGTGTGGTTGAAAAACAGCTTCAATTAAATGCTCCTTTTATAAGTTACTGCCTCGCTACAATATGACAACTTTTATGATGTAAACTTAAAGTGAGCTTCCCCTGTTTGAAAGACCAGCAGCCGCCACTGTTACAAATACTATTTTTTGTTTAAGCACCAATTTCAGTTCATTTTAAAAAAAAAATTTCAACTTACAATAATTTATTTTTTAATTCCCCATCATTTAATTTCCCCTTAAATCTGAGTTAAAAATATTTACAAACTCACACAACAACAACAAAATGCATAATCACTTTCTGTTTAAAAGCACAAGCATTTACACCTACACACTACAATCAATACACATATAAATACAAAAAAAAATCAACAAACAAATAGTTACCATAAATACTTACCCTCTACAACACACAAACATCAACAACAATTACACAAACACACTTACCTGGGACAACACTTACCTTCATACTTACAAATCAACAACTACCCTTCAGTCATAAACCTACACTCTAAAAAACACAACCGATAAAAATACTCACCTTCACATACCCAAATCTATAAACACTCACATCCATAAACAAACATAAACAAACCCTCAATTATGACAATAGAATAACAAAAAAATCCCTTTCCATCATGGCTTCCAATTATGAAGGAGACTGGATCGTGGTACGACACAGCAACAGACGGGGATGGACACCACAGGGTACGGCTGATGGAAATCAGCCACCAAACTCATAATTCAAGAGTATCACAACCAATCCTCCGGGAACTGTGTGAGGGGGTACGAGATGTAGGTTGATGTGGGGGGATTTAAGGTAATTTAGGGTGAAGAGGGGTGATTCAGGGTAATGTGGGGTGATGATTCCACACTGTAATATATATTTTTATTTTTTTATATACTTAATTAATCCCCCAGCGGAAATTCAATTCTTTCACTCTTGTCAATTACACACAGGTTCGAGCACACACATGCACAAACAGGACCTATACATGCACTAAGTGGAGAGTGGGAGGGCTGCCTATGGACTGAGTTACTGCCGCAGACTTAAATAAAAGCTCTGACTCTTCAGTCGCTGTCATACAGAGTACGTCCCAAGTCTCTTATTTTATACTGCTAACTCCTAACTCCTTACTTGAAACGGAAGTCGTTAGAGGTCCGCCATCTTTAAGGCCGTCACATGTCTCTTATTCCTGCCAGTAAGGAGTCAGCATTAGCCGTTAGGAGGGATCTGTTAGGTGTGATGAGTAAGGTAACACGAGAGCTTCCTAACAGGTACGGCTTTGATCAGTGGATATAATGTAACTTGGGATGTACGCCAAACGCTGGCTCCATTATGCAGCAGATCCAGCTGTGCCGCCGTCATCAGAAAAGGACGTCACTTTACGTGACGCTTCAGAGTAAGGCCGTCTCATGTCTCTTATCAGCAATCCTCGCTCCTCACTCCTAACTCCTGACTCCTTGCATGTTTTCCTAAGTGGGAGGGACTAAACGGTTAGGTAAGGTGGCTAGGTTAGGTGGTTAGCAGTAAATTTAAGGGACTTGGGACGTACCCACATTATAGAGACGATTGACTACATTTCCCAGTCCTAAAGTGCTCGAGACTCGCGAGATTTAAATTGCAACACGTCTGCGCATGCGCAATATCATTGGAAAACTTGCACGGTGAAAGAAAGACAACGAACAAAACACACAATGGCGACGGCGGCGACAACGGCAGGCGGAACGGGATCGGGCGGACCGGCCACCGGCCCGGTAAGCAGCGGGACCGCAGTGGGACGGAAGAAAGACGGTGGTCCGTCCACGAAGTTCTGGGAAAGTTCAGAAACGATATCTCAGCTGGAGACGGTGCGGCAGTGGATCGGAAAGCACTACAAGAAGGTGAGCTAACGGGAGTTAGCGGGCTAACGGCAGTTAGCTGCAGTGCTTCGGCCCGCCGCCTCCCGCTGGCACAATAGAGCTAACAGTTATCACAGCTAAATGCTTGTGTTAGCACACAAAACGTAAATGTTAACGGCTACAGACAAACCTTAAGAGGTTTATACCAACGTTACGTTTTATTAGAGTCACGGGTGACGCTCGTGTTCGTGTTAGCATAGCATTAATCAAACTCTAACTTTTCTTTAGCCAAACTATTAACGCTAGCTCACCGTTAGCAGGCTAACTGCTCATTCAGCGCCGTTATTAATCACGTTACCGGATTGGAAATGTTTACAAACAAACGGAAGTTTCATGCATTATCTGGTACTGATTAAGTTTTATTCATGTTTTTTACTTTATACAAAGTTTCAGTGAAACTCAGTAATGTGCCAAAGGCCCGACGCGCTAACTATGGTGTTCGTCACGGGACAACCGAAACACTTTACCTGATTTAACTGATCAAATAAAACCAAACATGATTTTAATCACCCGGAAATTACACGGTGCTCATTTGATAAACATGTCGTCACCGCATGGACAGGCACATTTTAATTACAGTCGCAGTTTAATAAACAGTCTCAAAATAATGTTTACTGCTGAGGAGTCTCAGGTGATGACGTCATCACAGCAGGTCAGACTTGGACACACAAACACCCCTGTGTCCTCCTGTCTGTCTGACTCCTGTCCGTCTCCTCCTGTCTCCTTTCTGTCAGACCCACAGACAGATTTCCGCCGGTTGGTGCACCAACACCAACTTTTTATCTGTAACTAAAGTGAAGGTGTTTCAAGAGCAGACATAGCTGTCGTCCTTGTTAAAAAATAGAACAGACCTGATATTAGCCTGTGTCCTTTATACTTCGACTCGCCCTATTTCCTGCAGATGTGTTATTCTTACAGCTGTGAATACATTATGGATGCAACGGTACAGGTAGCCTACCTCGATTTTTGAGCCACGGTTTTGGTTCGGTTTCAGTACGTGTTTTGTGCATAAAGAGAACAATTTCTTTTCCCCAAAATTATCTCTTTATTTTAGTTGACTTTGCACTTGACATGTTGCTGTGTTGTGCTACAGCCTATTCAAGTGCTGGAATTTGTTATGTGACAATGTCTGAACGCAACACAGGATCCACTCCATAGACTGTATGTTCAGTGCCGTCCTGCGGGTCCTACGAACTCGGTTATAATTGTCGGCCATGAAAATGCAACCCGGGTTGCGCTCTTCTGTGCTTGTGTGTGTGTGTGTGTGTGTGTGTGTGTGTGTGTGTGTGTCTGTCTGTCTGTCTGTCTGTCTGTCTGTCTGTGCACGCACACGTGTTGGTGTGCGCATCGCTGCTGAACTCTGCCATGCGTGACACAGAGAGCAGAGGAGGATTGTGAACGTGCGACCATGTACAGACAGGAACGACATGCCATTCTGTAAATAAGATAAATAACATAAGGCTATTTAGTTTGTTTAAAGGGATAGTGCACCCAAAAATGAAAATTTAGCCATTATCTACTCACCCATATACCGAGGGAGGCTCTGGTGAAGTTTTAGAGTCCTCACAACACTTACGGAAATCCGAGGGAGAAGTGGCTAGCAGCAAACTGCACACCTAATGGCTGACGGCGCCCCAGATTAAAATGTCCAGGAACACAGAATTAAAACCACAAAATATCTCCATACTGCTCATCCGTAGTGATCCAAGTGTCCTGAAGCCCCGACATAAAAAGTTGTTTGGAAAAACGTCATTTGAACTCTGTTTTTTGCCTCATTGTAGCCTGTAGCTCTGACTGCCTCTGTGTACACTGCGCTGACGTGTGTGCACTTGCGTGCGAGACCAGCGAAAGCACGCAAACTCACATGAAGGCGGTGCCAATGTCTCACGGTCTCGCACAGACAGTGAAATGTCTGTTAACTATTTTTACTCCCTCGTCGTTTTATTCAACAGCGGAACCGAAATGATCACACACCGGACATTTAAATGAAGCCGGTGCTTCTTCAAACTTCTGTCTCTCCACTCCTCTGCTTGCGCTTGCCATGGCTCTCTGTTTGTTTTTCCCGCTTCTGTTCTGTGTGAGGCGAGCGTCACTTTCCCCAGCTCCAGTTAAAACAGTGTGAGGGGGTGAGTGGGCGGAGCCACAACAGTGATTGGACATTAACTCATGGGGAGGCCTTTTCTGTATATATATATATATATATATATATGTGTGTGTGTGTGTATATATGTAACGATTCATTGATGCTTTAGAGGCCACTGTGTACATAGATAATTTTAGTATCGTGACAACCCTAA